GTATTGAGTAATACATAAACTAGTGAAATTCTTGAAGCTCAAGAAATTAAATGACAGACTCTTGAATATCGTCAAGAATTCATATGAATTTTCTCAAAGGATCCAGAAAATTGGGTTGGTGGGGTCGGAGCTGTTGGTGAGTTTCGATGTACAATGCATGTACACAAACATCTCAGGCGAGATTTTGGAGCGAGAATAGGACATCCTGGAGGCAGAATGAATGCGAAAAGAATCGTTAACACGACTGATCAACCTGATAGTAAGGACCACGTATTTTACATTTAACAGCATTATCTACGAGCAAATATTTGGACTACCGATGGGATCTCCACTATCAACTCTTTTGGCAAATGTCTACATGGACAAGTTGGAAAGGGAATTCGAGAAGTCATCACTGCAACCAAGAGTGCTCATGCGATACTTGGATGACTATTTTGCACTTTGGTCGAAGTCGCGAAATCACCACTGCAACCAAGAGTGCTCATGCGATACTTGGATGACTACTTTGCACTTTGGTCACATGGTAAGGAAGATTTAAGAGAATTCCTCAATTTTATTAACCAACTTGACGAACGAATTAAATTTACAATAGAGGTGGAGGAGGATGAACGACTACCCTTTCTGGATATTGAAGTCATACGCTCCACACTTATGAGGAGACTATACAGAAAGAATTCATATGTGGAAATAATCCTTAATTTTCAGTCTCATCATAACTACAGACTGAAGATCGAAATACTCAGAGTTTGATCATCAGAAGGTTACGACTAACGGCACTGAGTTCTATGACGATCAGTTGGACAAATTAACACAGACTTGCCTTGGCAGCTGGTACCCCAGAGAATTTAGAGAGAAAAATGTGGAGGTGATAAAGGGCCGATTTAACTTGGATTTTATGAAAATCAGATTAGGAATGAGGATAACAATCAAAAATGGATTTGCTTGCCCTCATCACAACTAAACCAAGAATTGCGACCTTAATTAAGAAAATGGAATATCAAGGTTATAACCAAGGAGAAGAAAACACTTTTCACCGGTATGCCAACGCAACACGAGAAGACGGATAAACTTGAGTGTTGGGGAGTTTATCGCATCAAATGCGGCAACTGCAGGAATATGGATACACAAAGATCAGAAATAGCGTAACACATTGCACGGACGGGGCAGGAAATCGACTGGAAATCAACCGAAAGGTTGGCTGCTTTTCATGAAAATACGAGAAAACGCAAGATCCGAGAGAAAATTGATAGTGAGAGAAATATAATGAAGAGGAGACTTGAAGGCAGGATCAGCAAAAACTTTGCATATTGTCTAAATAAACTCGGAGAAGACAAGGCAACAGGAAGATCTGCAAAAAGAAGACGACTGGAACATGGTAATATCCTTAATTTTAGGAAAAGAGATAGCAAGGCGATGCGAAAGGAAGAATCAGAAGCAAAGAGAAGACGTTTTCAGTGAGCCTTATCAAAACAAGTAGAACCACATTTTGGGTTGGCACCCAAGACTAGGACGTAGGAAGTGAGTCATGGTATTACAGATAGGTGGAGACTAAGGCTATTTGGCTAAAAATAGACGTGTTTGATTATAAACATGATCCTTGAATGACGACTATTGTTAGCCAACCAGATCTAGCTTCCACTGTTTCTATCATATATATATAATACCAAGCCTATCACATTAACACGATTACAAAAGACAATATTGAAAAATCATAAATGCAATCGATTTTGGTAAGGAAATAGATGTTCAGTCATAATATCCACTTGACATGTTATCTGAAAATCGCCATCATATCAGAAAGTATGTGGGGAAAGCATGAAATAACCGGCCAAATAGTAAGATGCCTCATTAGATGGGCATTGAAAATAAGGGGTAGATCGGATTAAAGTCCGATTATAGAATTTTTGGGTTCAGATCATTAGGAAAAGCATGGTTTTACCCTATGGCAAAGCATTTAACTTTATAGATGAAATCTTGGAATGAATTAAACAGGGTCAAAGAACGCTAGGCCGAGTACTAGTTGATTCAAATTTTATTACAACACTAAGATAATCCACCTTAATATTCCGATGAGGCCAATTTAGAATCCCCTTCCCTAGCATTTTAAAAAAAAATAAAAGACCCAACCAAATGAACCAAATATTTTTACCCTGTATATAGACATGTGCTGAAACGACAAGAGGCTGGCAAGTGTAGCAAAGTATACAAACGATGAAAAAATCTCACCTTGCATTCACATTCTGCAGCCTCGTCGAGCGATGTAATAGCACTAGCAGCTCCAGTTGACAATGAATCTGCGCTGCGACCACGATCTCCGGCACAGCCCATCTCAGCATCATCAGCAAAATCAAGACACATCTCTTCTTCTTCAGTTTCTACTCTGCTCTCCTTACTCTTTGATACAAAAAAGCCCTCATTTCGATTATGTTCGGCATCACTTTCAAGCTTTTGTGGGGAAGGCCTAAGGCTGTGAACCTCAAGTGGATTAGAAGCTGCAGAAATGGCGTTGGAAGTAGCTGCTAAACAAGAACCATGGGCTAAATAAATGGCCTCTTCATTTAGCGATGGCTCTGTCGTGGCTCTGATGCTACTGCCTTTATCTCGACTACAGCTACTGCTATCCCCCGTTTGAAAGCCACTAGTTCGTGTGTCTGTAGCGTTTAACACAGTAGAAGTAACCACAACGGCACTTTCCTTCCAATCCACCATTTTAGTTGCAACAGCCGTCTCAAGTGTACACGAAACCAAGGAGACTTCAGATGAATTCCCAATTTCACAAGGGGCAGCAACAACAACAGATGTAGTAGAAAAATCTACATTTCCATCACAATTAAGATGCGAAGGTGGCCAATAAGTTATTCCTTGTTGAGTGCTGGCATGGCTTTCGCTGTAAATAACATCATTGCTGGCAGATGGAATACTTGAATTGTTAGGTGCGGTTGCTGAGCTGAGTAGATTAATTTGGACATCTAGGCAAGAGCCTTTAATATCATGCTGACAGACGAGTTTGGAGTACAACAAAAGAAGACATAATAGAAATAAGTAAAAAATAATGGATCTAAACAACGATCGGATCAGACCTTAGGTGAACAGAGGCTAGAATAAAGTAATATAGTCAAAATTACGGAGAGTGATATGGAGCCACAAATTAGATCACAATCGCTTTTCGTTGTAAAGAACGGGGACAAATTTGTTTTCGCAATTTGCTAATGTTGTCAAAGAAAAGGCACAATATAAAGTCATTTGTCCTGGGTCCGCAATAATTTTAAAGTAATGAGGGTGAACTTGGTAAGACCCAAGACATTTTACTGGCATCGAAGTTGGCATCGTGAAAAGAGTCTGGCCGGTTAAAGTATCGAAAGACAACTTGTCAAAAAGACGAGTAAAGACAATCCATTGACAAAATTTATGCTAAAAAATCGTATAATCTTTTTTTTTCTTTTTTGGTACATACGTCTATCCCATATGCTGGCAAATGAGTTTCAAGACTACCAGTAAATCAGTAATATGAGATGTATTCAATTCATTTCGTCTAAGGTGATGAAGGACTGGTAGTTGAATTTTCCCACAATAATGAGTAGACCTTGCAGTTCCATTGAGTTTTACTATTATTTACTTTCCAAAAGTTATTCTCATCCAGGGTGAGCTGCAATTTCGACCTCACCTAGGTCTTATCAACACTCCCAGCGGGACTTGAACCATCAAAGTACATGTAATCGCGATACGTTAAGCACTACACCACATTGCTATGATTGCCTAAGGTAATGGGGCATATGTGCATTTTAAGAAAGGCACATATTTCATAAGTGTGATCTTTTGGGGCTCTAAGAATCCCAATTATTTTCCTTATCCAGCCCACATTATGTTGGAAATATTGATCCAGCATAGCCCTTTCAGTCTACAATCTACTTTATCCAAACCCCTACTGTCATCCGCGTGCCCCAAAATATGCGATCCGCTAAGTCATTTAAGTCAATCGCTTCCACTATATCCATGCCACTCGAGGTGTTATTTCACATGTTCTGTCACATGCGTTTAACAACACGTATGTCATAGCTAAGTCGAACATGTCCACAAGCCTGGATTCTCAGGTCGAATGAAATGCGGACCGAGCACTGAAGTTTCCCTTGTGTTAGTTCTGGCTGTGCAAGAGTATTCATGGCGTTACTACATAGAACACGCGTATGCTTAAATGCATGTCGATCAACCGTCTCTTGTCTCCGCATCTATCGAGTGGAGTTCTGATCCCATTGGCCTCGCTCATCTCTCCATAATTCCAAGTTTATATGATTCCCTATTCATTTGTGTGCCAAACCCCAAATATGTCAACTGATTTCTTGGTTATATTAGGTCCACCGCAGGTGTCTTATCTTGATTTCTGAATGTACCTTGAGGACGTGATCCTCGGAATTACTTTTCCTTACGTTAAAATTCCATCCCTGATCTAATCGTATCATTGTGGCTGATCTGACTGCCTCTTGATATCATCAAAGCTTGCTTAAGCAATGTACAAAGTTTTAGCCAATTCTATCTCCTTCCAGTATACTATTACTAGATTTCGGTCAGTAAGGATATCTATGATCTCTCTAAACTTGCGCTTCTTTCCAGTTTTACCATATATGGTAGGTATTTATGCTACCTTCTAATTGATTTTGTATCCCGTCCGTAAAGTGTGTTTCGAATCTTACAGTATAAAATCTTCTGCAGAGCCTCTAGGATTCCTTAACGCGTAGGTTGATTTTTCCTTCTGTTTCAGCCCATTCTGTCTTTCCTGTTCCCGATTTTCAGGTGAAAAGTATCCATGCTATCAGCTACTATATATGAATATATTTATTTGCAAAACATCTTCTAGGAAAACCCGAGGCAATTTGTTAATTCTTCTTCAAAGAACTCCATGTCCGTCAGTAGTCAATTTCTGTGATCAAAGTCCACATTAGTAAGATTTCATTCTATAGTGACTGGAAATTGAGTAATATCCCTAGATGTTATTTATTACTGAATAGTATTTCTTGAGCGTCCAGATGGAGCAAGTGTATGCATTTGCCAAAATAGGAGAAATTGGAAATTAAAAAGCAGTTGAAAAGCCTACTCGTAGACATCTCCGTTGAAGCCAATGGTAAATTTTTCCAGGATTAATACTAATTTTAAAGACTCCGCTACCTGCTCAGTTTTCCAAAGTATACCGTTCCTGATTAGACAGTTCAATAAAAACCGTAACTTCCTTTTTGTCTGAGATTTTTGTGTATATAAAATGTACATCAAAAACTTCCAAAAGTTCTGCCTCTGCAAGCTCAAACTTAAGGAGCGTTGGAGCAATCCAATTCTCAAAATCACAAGACAAATGACAGATTATCAAACGCCGTAAACGGCTCATATAAATATTATCTAAAGATCAAAAACCTTGGCCTAGCAGAAGCAAACGGTTTTACGAAGAGAAGCTGGGTTTCGAAAAATTCCTTAGTAGATTGATAGTGGCATATATATCAGTTCGTCTTATAAGGCTAGTGAAAGTGGTTCATAAATTGGCCTTTCCGTATGCGGTACAGTTGTCTTCTTTTTTTACCGTTGGGTCATGCGAAGATCTCGGTTCATCGTCCTGCGACCCCGATGTCTCCGTGCTAAGCTTTCGTCTATCATGTGACAGACATATTCAGAGCCAGAAACCATTATTTTATAAGAATCACCAAAAAATACTAACGTTTTCTTGTCTTTGTGATTGTTTGTAAATGATGGTTTCTGGCTCTGAAGATGTCAGTCACATTGCGGAAAAAAGTTGAGCACGAAGTCATCGGGGTCGCAGGACTGTAAGGTCTTCTTCGCACAATTCTAGAGTCACAAGGCCAAAGCAACTGTCCTTTGGTATCCAGTGGAGCTAATTTACGAATCACTGCCACACACCCTTTCAAACAAAATAAAAGTTATGCTAGTAGCATAACGGTTTGACGTAGAACCCATCTACACAAAACTCACAGAAAAGAAGTAAGTCATTGGACTGCTTAAAATATTATACTTAGAAGATATCCTGGAGGCAAACAGGATATGGAATAAAATCATAAGGTGACTAATTAACCCGGTATTGAGGAACGTACGCAACACTTTTAGCAAACACTTTAAATATTTGGAATACCCATGGAATATCCATTCTTACCTCTAATGATCATAGAATTATTTGGCGAAGTAAAGACTTGGCCATGAGATAAGCACGGAGTAGAGGCCTAACTGCAATAAGAGTAATAAGTGATAATTTAGTTTTTTTTTATATCCAGCCAGAGAATCCGGATGAGAGCCTGCTCGATGCTAAACGCTTAAGGCAGAGCATGGTAAATAACGGCTC